AATTAACAATTGCAGATGATCATCGTTTATCATGTGATTTCCAGTATTAGCTATTTCCAGCATCAGCCACGACATTTATTAATATTAGTTTTAATATGTATAAAATGAAATAATTTCTTCTTTTTAAATTTCTTGAATTAAATTAATAAATAAATAAATATAACTAAAATTATTAACATAAAATATAAATACTTATAACTTGATTACTCATTGAACTATTTGTTATAATAAACTTAATTCCTTGTACTAGATATGAAGTTAAAAAACCTCTTAGTGATTTTATAAGAGTTAAAGCAGATAGCAATCTTAAGAAAAATAAAACTTGCATTAATTGTCATAATAAAGAAGCCAAAGTATATGAAACTACAAAGCGAAAACAGGATAAAACTAAGAAAGGTAAAGAAAATAATGATCTAGAAATTTTAGAAATTTTAGAAATTAAGCTAGATGATCTTTATAATTATATTGTATAGCTCTTAAATAAATATTTAATGCAAAATAATAATAATTCAAATATATCAAAATTCTCTTTTCGATTTGATGTAAATATTTCTGCATTTGAAAAGTTACCAAAAGAAATTGCAAATGAATTAGTCAAAATTATTAATGACTTACTAGTATTTTTGTTTACAAAGGGATGTTCTTGTTAAAAAACTAAAAAAATATAGAGACCTTTCAAAATGTCATAATAAATTATCTATAGAGCGATTCAGATATAATGGATCAATTAAAATTATTATTAACCAAATATCTAATATAGCAAAAATAACTTTAAAATATGATTTATTACATAAAAGACCAAAAAATGTATCTGTACCTCAATATGTTAAAAATTTTATTGAACAAAATATTGATCTTTTGCTGCAGGAGATATATATGTGACTTATAAGTAAAAGTATGGACTTGTCAATTTGCCAGAAACAAGTTTATTTCTGGTAGTCAGAGCTTGGGCAAAATAGGTATAAACATGATGAAAACATGTTTGAATTAGCTATAAAATAGCTTAAGAAAGGTCGATACAAAATTATTATAGAAAATAGGGACCCGGTTTGTGTTTTAGTATTTATAACTGGACTTTATGAATATCTACAAGAAATAAATACTAATATCGGCATTGATGCAACATATAAGTACCTATTTCCAAATTATTAAACTTTTTTTTATATCTTTATAAAAAAATCATTATAATGGCAATGTTGTCTTCTAAATTTTTAAATTAAATAGATTAGATTAAATTCAATATTTTTTAATACCTCTAAAAAATTGCTATAAGGGCAATGTTGTCGCTTTTAAATTAATTTTAAATTAAATAGATTAGATTAAATATATTACAATTTTTTTTTTATATATCCTTAAAAAATCACTATAAAGACGATATTGTCGCTTCTAAATTATTAAAATTTTAAATTAAATAGATTAGATTAAATTAAATTCAATATATATTTTTTTTATACCTCTAAAAAATCATTATAATTTTTTTTTATATCTCTATAAAAAAATCACTATAAAGATGATATTGCATCTAAATTATTAATTTTAAATAGATTATATTAAATTAAATTAATACAAGCAACTTCAATATAGCTTTTAAGCAGAAGTAAATAGAACAGGATTTTCTTTGGCCTACCTTTTTCTAGACAACAATGGGAATATAGAAATAGAATACATACAGGTATAATTCACACATTCTTTTCAAAATTGTATGAAGAAAAAATAAATCTATATTTCATTTTTACGGATAAAGATTATGCTTAAATAAATACTTCACTTTATATTTGGCTAGAGATTAAAATTCAGCTATGCAAATAGCATATCAAAAGAGCTATTATGATATGGTTGGCAAGTGACAAAGTGCCAAGATCTGCTGTCTATAATTTGTTATTACTATTTGGTATTTGATTTCTATTTAATGGTATTACACAAGCGCCCAAGTTTTGCTCTAAAGAGAATTGTGAAGTGATATAGATAATAATAGAGGCATATCTTCATCAATATCCACTAATTCCTATATGTGATAGCTAATTTCTTACTAGTGATATAATTTATAAAAATGCTGTTAAAGAAATGTATGAGTTTTGTAAAAATAATTCCTTAATATCGCTTTGAAGTTATTTGTAAAGTGAATGGTATAATGAACAAAAGTAGTCATTATAGACTCAGTTTGTATGTGAAAACAAGTTGTCTATATTAAAAACAACAATGTTAGTGGAAAAACATTGGAAAGTAATAAAAAGAGACTTTCTTTACAAATTTTTTTGACCTCAACTTGACTTGGTAATATATATATTAATAACAAAGGTCGTAGTTTATCAATTATGAAAGCTCCAACAAATTTATATTGGAAAAGAGAGACCTGAATAGATAAAACAATTCAAATCAGAATGGAAGGTATTATCAACTCGTAAAATTAATAAAATATATATAACAGACCTAAATCAGTGGATATACAGATGTTTCTATTATCTAAAAAGCAGATTTTATATTTGCAAGTATTTGGTATAACAAACAGGGCTAGTTACTAGTGAATTTTTTAATTACATTAAGAGAAATCACCAACCACTATTTCTTATCGAATGCGATCAAATTTCTATTATAGAGCAGTCAGAAATAATTACTACTAATAATGAAATTAATGTTGATGAATTAGTAAATGAAGATAATAATATTTATGACAAGTTAATAATGCTAACAAAAAAAATATTTACACTTCTTGAGAGTTAAAAAGAAGCAAAAAATGTTTAATAGACACAGTATAAAAAAGAATTTTAACCCAATTTTCAAAATAGTAAGCGAGGTTGAAAGTTATCAAAAAAAAAAAAAGTATACCTTTAACTTGAAAAGGTTATATATATAACACATGTTTTTTAGATTAAAATATTAGTAACATTGTTTGATAATTTTTTTTATTTAATAAATAAATAAAATAAATAAAAAAATTAAATTTTATTTAGGCGAGCATGGCCTTTTGTTGATCTGGCAGGTAACTCTCTAGCAAGTTAGGAGCCAAAGAGGAGGTAAATTAGTGGCTAGATAGTTACATATGGGCACCTTAGAGCAGCTGTGTGATGCTTTATGCATGAATGGGGAGTATGGTGGTGGGAACTGTAACACCACAGGGGAAGAGACCTGGGATATATAGAAATATATAGACTGCTACTGTACTACCTTGTAATATACTTAACCGTTTAGACATAATAAAGTGGCTACTATTGAAACCAAAAAAAAAAATTAAATTAAATTTTATTTAATTTTCTTATAATATTCCACACTGTTGTTTAAGCTAAAGCGAATAAAATAAATATATTGAAAACTGTAAATATTTATAACTTGAAAAACTTATTTTAATTATTACTTGAATGAATAATCGAATATTTGTGAACTTGAAAATCTAGTAAATATTTCAAATATTTCACTTAATAAATATTATCGTTTAATAAAATATTTGAATATTGTTTTTAAAAATCAAAAGCTACATAACTTTATTTTATATACCTGTCAGTATTTTCAAAATCGCCTTTAAAAAAAAAAAAAAATATTTTTTAAGTTTTTGTTGCTTTAAGCAATGAAACTCTTTAGTGCAATAACAGAAAACTTTTTAATTACGTACGTATATATACCTATATCACTCTATACAAGTTGTAGAGTACTTGAAATTTTTGGGTACAATATGCAATTTGATTATTATCAATAATACAAAATCAATCATTAAATCATATTGTGCTACAATAATCACATATAGGTGGAATTTTGGTAGCGATTTAGAGGAAGATTGTATCCATAGTAAAAATCATATAATAAATGGTATGTTTCTTAGTTAAAAAGTTGTTAACTATTCGGTTTTCCAACTAATGATTTGAAACACTAGATACAGATATGACAAATAGTGCAGAACCCTTAGCATAGCACTAACGCTTCAAGTGGACTACTTAAATTAGGCACCAAAAGTACACATATGGCTATATATACTCTCATTATAACTGAAATAATACTTCTAATAAAATCTATAGCCAAAGAGGTTCTTGTTAATAACAAAAAAAAAAAAAAACTAGTGAAATAAAATTACTATATCCTGCTGTGAATAAGCACCCACCTTTTGCAATTTTCATATTAAAGTTTCACATAATCTAGTGATTGAATTGATATTATTTAAATTGTTTTAATAAACTGATTTAAATAGTACCAAAATCATACAAATCCGATTACTAGATTGAGAAACTTGAATATGAAAATTGCAAAAGATAGGTGTTTATTTACAGCAAGATATAATATCTAAAAAATTAATTACTATAGTGCACTGACCAAAGTACCCTCTTTTTGAGTACCCCCCTCCGTGTGAAGTACCTGGATATTTTGCACAGTACTTTTTTTTTGCCAAGAATAATACCCGGGTATTTTATAATTATTGAAGGCGAGATTTTTGTATTAGACCCGGGTATTTTATATTGTACAATGTCTAATATGACAACATTACCGAATAAATGATATTATGAAATATTTAATACTTGAAAGCTGTCAATGTACCAATTTTTCAATAATAATAGTACATGCCCAATTTCGAATTTTAATGACTCTTAACATGAACAACCAGAAAACGCAAAAGCATCAACATTTGACATTATAACAGTTTCTATTGAAGGAATAACTTGCAAATTTTGTGTAAATTCTATAACAAATACAGTTTGAAATATCGTATAACAGATGACAAAGTGGTGGCAGAAAAAATTCGTGATGATGTGATCGTTGGATAATTTTTTTAACTTAGTATATAATTTGTATATAATTTATACATAATTTGTTTTATCAGGTTAGGAGTAGTCAGTGATTACGTCACCACGAATTTTTTTGCCACCACTTTTTGTTATCTTAAAATAATTTAGTAAATTATATGAGCAAGATACAAAATTGATTTTATTCAATTCGATTATTTAAGAAAAAAAAATTGCATTTTTTTTTTTCATTTGCTTACAATTCTACATTAAAATTTTCAGATTTTCAGTTCATTAATTCCAATCTTGAATGACCGTTAAATCTTCGCTTTCTTCATAGTAATCATCATAAACTAACCCACTTTCATTTTTATTCATGTCTTCTCCATCTACATTATTTTTACTTTCGGGTTCACCATCACTTTCATCAGTATTTTTACTGTTATTTTCATCGTTATCTTCATCATCATTTTGTTTCTCAATTCTTCTTCCTGAATTTATTTGGCTCGTGAGTTTTGTAAAGTCTAAAATTAAATTGTCTTTGGTTCTATCCATTGCGTTAGAGATTTCACAACATTTAAAGAACTTTCTAATCATATTAATATCGATAGCTTCCCAAGCCTCTTTTATCCAAGTAGCAACCAAAAGATAAGAGGAACATTTCATTTTGCCAGCTTTAGTATATTCTTTGATTCCTTCATCCATTCATTGACTATAAAGATTTCACATCTATTTTTTTTTTTTACTTCTCTATTTATTAGATTTTACCTTTGATTTAAACGATTTATTTATGGAGATATTGAGAAGTTGTAAGCGAGATAATAAACCTTTAGAAATTAAAGCCAAGTCAGTATTCTTTTCTCAAAAATGTCATTTTACAGGGTCTGTTTTGTGGCCAGCAAACGAATCCAAGATTAACAAAGAACGCAGATTATTTCCACATTGTGCTCGTTGGGTCCAAATATTTTCTATTTATCTAAAGATAAGTAAATTTTAGTCTTAACTGTGATATGTATTAAAATCGTCTAAGTTTTTATATATACTATAACATCTTGTTTTCATTCATCCATCCTGAAGGGTTTGCACGTATGATAACACTATCAGGAAAATTTTCATGAGGTACTTTACCAATTTAAAGATAATTAGAGGTGGCAATTTAGTTACATCGGCTATACAGGCGAGAACAATAGTGAAATTCGAACATTCGTGCCCAGTTGATAGAATTGATATAGTTTTAGTGCCTCATTGTTCAATTGTGGTATTACTTGACATACTTAAAGACACAGCAGTTTCATCTATGTTACCAATTAATTAGCAATTCACATAAGAACAGGACAATTTATAAAATTTTATATAATAAAAATAAGCAAATTTACTATAATATTTCAAATGTTGGAATCCAGTTTGCCTACAATATAAAGTATTAATAGTTTAAATATAATATAAAATTAAATTATATAGACATAAAAATATGGTATTTGTCTTTCTTTTTATTAAAAGTCCGGTAGAATTTTCTAAAAATAAAAGGTACTTTACTAAGAGCTGAAATTTTGAATTTTTAAAAAAACCGTCTTTTTACTATATAATTTTGGGAAATTAGATTCCATATTATTATTAAAACTATATAAATACTTATCCCCAACTTTTGTCCTGTTCTTACGTGAATTGCTAATTAAGGATAAAGGATAGTCATTTTTATGCCGCTTAAAAAGTACAAGAGACAAAAACTCATTTTGATTCTCAATATAACTCTTAGGAAGACGTTGGGCAATGGTAGTCCGTCTTTGATTTACCAAATATAAATCTGTCTACCCATTTTTGAGAAAATTTATTATTTTGAATTTCTCCATATTTTTCTTGATATTGAGATGTAGTGCACAATGTGCGAGCTTTGGCTTGAATCATATACTGGCTTACAGTTTTTTGCTAAGATCGGGCTTCTCAAAACTATTCAAGTAATTCGGCTTCAAGTTCAGGATATTTTGGCCAGGCCCCAGGTGACAACTTTTGAATATAAGGTGCAACTTTCAGAAGGTTGGGTTTTTTGCTTATCCAGTTCTGAAGCTGCTTTCTTTCTATTCCAAATTAGCAGTTAAATGTTTACTATACCCTTTTTCATAGTAGGCAACTATCATTAGTTTTTCGCATACTGTTTTTGCTCTTTTATTTTTTTTTGTTATCCAAGCACGTCAAGCTTTAAAATTTCCACGGGCCATTCTGTTTCTTAAAAATAGTTTGTGCTAGTGTAGTTATTCGGTAATATATACTGAGTAATCTTCTTTTAACAAGTTATTTCCTGGATGTAAGTCTTGATATAAATATCTTTTATGAGTTTGTTTAGTTTGCTGATAATTGCTGGTGGTAGAGTTACTGCAGAGAGCTTCTGCTAATACGTTGCTCCTTCTGCGAAAATACTTCAGTTTCGGCAGTTTTTTATTTTTATTTATTTATTTATTTATTGGTTTTTTATTTATTATTTTTTTATTTATTTAATTTGGACCCAAGGGCCACAAGCTAACAGTAATGTTTCATTACTTTGTCCCAATAGTTAAAGAAATTTAAGAAGACATATGTACGTATGTACGTACATGAAGTTCATTGATTTTCTTTTATATCGACTTGTATTACTTAAAATATGTTGTGTATAATACCCCCAATACAAAATACCTCCCTAGCAAAAGACCCCTATATGCAAGATATCTGTCACCGATCAAGAGACCCATGGGTATTTTATAAGTTTTTTTTTGGTTAGATTGTTTTAGACCCGGAGTATTTTGGTCAGTACACTATGGTAAATATCTAACTTTAGGATCTTTTGATTATTCAAATTTTTGTAGAACATTTGTGACTAGCCTTTAAATACTATTTTTAATAAAAGATTTATTTTGTAAAGTTTTGGTTTTTTAGCTAAAACCTTCATGCTTTTATAAATATTATGATAAAGTTTATTAAAAAAATTATAATTAAAAAAAATTCAGATTCATAGCTATTTAAAGATACATATAAAGACCCAATCATTGGCACAATATAAAGAGCTTATCATAGTATACCTCAAGCTTAATCCTGTAATTAACAGCATATCATATATAAAGCTGCCTAAGATAATTTATAGGTGCTATTAAAATCTGACTCTCCAAATAAGTTTTTGCTTTACTTATATTTGTCAGACTTTGAAGAGCATCTATATAATTTTCTAGTGAATGAAGAGGCTTTACTTTTAATTTGACAAGCTTAGTATTATTTATGCTTTGATCTTCTTTATATTGATTGATCCTGTTATTATAGCTATGAACTAAAAGATGTTCGATTTGCTTTTTATACATCTTAGACACAAATATTAAATCAACAAATGCTGATTTTTGTATTAGGGAAGTGCAGAAAATCACGTAATTTTTTAGGGGGGGAGGGGGGTCCCATTTTATTACATCCTATATATACATATATAGTCAAATAGCCAATAATATTAAAGTATTTATTATATTAAAAATCATAATATTATATTAATATCCGGATTTGAATTACTCAACAACCAGTTATCCAAATAAGCTGAAATTTTTACTGCTAATAAATATGATATCAGGCTATAACATATTAAAAATTTCATGCAATTTGAATTAGTAGTTCTTGAGAAATTGCTTAAAAACTATATATAGTTGTGTTATATAAATTATATTGTTACAAGTGAACTATAACCTTCTTTAAAATATAGTACTTGCAACATAGCACACGGTGACAGGGATCTATGTAGGGTCAGAATAGATATGAAGCGGTGTGGAAGTGGAATATTACTTAACTAGGGCGATTCGGTATAGTTTATACAAGAGTAAGATATATGTTTATTAAGATATATTTATTTATAGTACAATATCAAGATATAAGGCTATCCTAAGGTATCTATGCCTAAAGAATCCTAATAACTTAAAGATTGTAGGGAACAAATCCTAGAGTGCAAGAGAGGGTAAAAGCTAGGGTTTATATAGCTTTTACAACTAATATAAATTATATAATAACAACAATACAAAAGTAGAAAAGATATAAAAAGTATAAAAGATACTAAACGTATAAAAGGTATGAAAGGTATGAAAAGTATGAAAGGTATGAAAGGTACAAAAGGTATGAAAGGTATGAAAGGTATGAAAAGTATGAAAGGTACAAAAGGTATGAAAGGTATGAAAGGTATATTTCGTTTATTATCTAATTGCCGGCTATCCGATAGTCCGTTTAACATGTATTGTAGCTCGTTACGATCGTCATGATCTTCCGGATCTTTTGGGAACATAATCTTTAATATGTTCCTAGGAGTTTATACGTTCTATAACAATATATAGTTTTTAAGTAATTTCTCAAGAACTATTAATTCAATTTAGCTAAAATTTTAATATGTTATAGCCAGATATCATATTTATCTACAATATAAATTTTATTCAATTTGGATTAGTAGTTCTTGAAAAAATTATAGCTGAATAACTACAAAATATTAATATAAATTTAAAAAAATATAGCAAAAATTTAAATAATTACAAATATATATATAGTTCTGGCAGACCTGTGGGTTGATAGCATACACAGGTTGAAATCAAAAATATCTTCCCTGTATCTTCAAATAATCGGCCTAGATGATAGCAGGATGATATAGTGATGGCTATGAACCGATATGATAGTATATAAAAAAAGCCGATATGCGGAAGATTAGAGTAAATTATGATGTATATACGGAAATTAACATTCGCATATCGTTAAGATGATTTGTTTATCATGTAGAAGATATAAGGCCGATATGAACAA